CTTTTTTTGTGTCCGGCAATGGATCGCAACCCTCAGTGTCGCGCCCGTACCGGACCGGGACCGGCAACAGGATCGCAACCCTCGGTGTTGCTCCCGCATGTCACTCAGCAGTGAGCGGGAACCGGTCTGTATGTGGGATCCGAACCCTCAGCGGGAGTGCCGCTGCGCTCTCAAGCGGCGCACTGTAGCAGTGTGCCACTGGGCCGGCCCATAGATCCTGCACTTTCTAACATCCCACACATGAAAGTGACATCGGTGGGAAGAAACCTTGGACCTGTCCCTAAAGAATGCGTGAGATTTTTGAGATCCCATTCTTGAGGATAAAAATCAGGTGGAAAGACCTAAGAGGATGTTTTATCTTGCTCTCAAGTACGGGTATGATTTGGATGGTAGAAGATGGTAGGAGAGAAAGTTTGCAGCTAGAAGAACAACCTGATCAACGACCCAAATGAAGGAAAGTTCAGGATGTGCTAGGGAGATCTTCCAGTTTGATCAGAGTAGGAATACATGTGAAGGCTTAATGTCCAATCAGTGGTTATATATGCCTGCATGTGACTCAGCCAGTTAATGCATTTTCTGCTTGCTTACTAAGTAAACTAACTCCCACACATGAAGTAGGGAAGATGAGAACTAGGAGAAGTATAAATGGTGACATTAAGCATTTACCAGGACAGTCACACAGGTTGTGTGACACACCTCTCTGAGATCACTGAAATGTCATGGAGAGGAACAGAGCGGGAAGTACATCTGAGTCAGCCACTACCTGACTGTGGTGGCCTGTAATATCTCCATCTGATAGTTCTACATTCAAAACTAAAGCTAAGCCTTCATTTCCAAAACTCAAGAACTAAGAATCCTGCAGTCACCTCATGGCATGTCCAGTTTTTTCCAAGTGCTAAGTAGAAATCAATGAGCCAGCATCTATACAACTCCCTCCTTATTCCTTAGAACCCTAGACAGTCAGAGCTGGAAAAGACCTTTGTGATTCCTGATCTTTCCCCCTCATTTTACAAACTTAAGCCCAGAAAGGTAAAAGGAACTGCCCAATGGCAAACACCAAATTAGTACCAGAGGCCATCCCCATATTCAGCAACATCTGACCCTGCATTCAATGATCCATTGCCAAGAAGCTGTATGTACAAGAACCCACGTGAACTAAGTAAGATATACGCTCAGATAAGTAAGATATACTTTCTGATATCGATACTCACTCCAGATTTTACTGAGATCAAAATGAAAGTTCTGCTTGGGTGCTGTTCCAACACACCGTTTTTTTCTCATTTTGGTAATAGAGATGAGACATTTTAATCATAAAGATCCAATTTCTGTTTTCTGTTCTATTTTGGACTTGCCAAGGTTCAAAGTGCCACCAACTCTTTGTATGGAAATGAACCACCATTTTATGGCTAGAGGAGGGAGAGCCAACTATTTCTTCCACATTCTCCCCAGTGTCTCCCCCAAATGCCAAATCAGCCTTGTAGAAAACTAAAATTTACATCAGGAAACTGGTGAACAAAAAGCAAATGCAAATTTAGTTTTTATTAATCAAAAGTGTTATGCACTTATTTTTAAATATGTACTAAATTAATTTTTTAAACATTTAACATTTGCGGTTTTGGAGAAAGCCCCCATCGGTGTCTTAAAAGTCCCATTGCTTGTTTGGCATTTTCAAAACCCACATAAGACCGTTGAAAAGTCTGGGTATCTCCGAATGGAGTATACGCAAAATAATCTGTCTCCTCATGAAATTGTAGCAGTGTAAAACCTGGCGTGCACGAGGACGGTTACTCCCACATTCACCACTGTGAAATGAAAGAGCCACATGATGGTGCTATAACCCAAGCAGAAATGTTACTTTATCCCAAGTCATGGTCCATTTGCTTCTTATCTTGTATCTATAAAAACAGTAGCTGAGAAAGCGAGGAGTCAGCTCACTGACGTGACTAATAAAGGTATTGTCGGATAAAACAAACAGCCGTCCTTTGGGCTACATGATGAAGCTGAGTCTGCTGAAGAGTGCTGGGATTCCCTTCTGCCCATAGAGGAAACCCTTTCAGTGGAGGGAGGGGAGAGGAACAGGAGGAGTGTGGGCTCTCGAGCCAGCAAGAGCCTCCACCTTGACGACTGACTCAGTCACTTATGATCTGTGTGGTCTTGGGCTACTTAGATATTTCTGAGTCTCTATTTCTCACTTCTAGAATAGGAATAAATCCACCTCCTTACACATAAATAAACACTTCTTTATTTTTGTGTCTCCCAATATCTGGCAGAGTAGGAACTTGATAAAAGTTTTAATTTACAATATGTCAGGCACTGGATTAGGAGCTTTACTTACATTATTTCATTTAATTCTTACAAAAATCCCTTGAGGTAGATGTCTGCCAAATGAATCAATCAATGTTTTGATTTTCCTGTTTATAACACTAGTACGTGCTCACTGTAGAAAATTTGGAGAATACAGAATAAAGTAGAAGTTAGAGAATAAAATAAATCTGTAGTGGGGCCAACTATAGCTAACCTCTGCTAACAGGTGTGAACTTTCTTCCCATCAAAGTTCTTATTATATAAGACTGAGATCATAATATATCATCCAATTTGCATTCTGCCTTTTTCACTTAGCATTATATCATGAGCACATTCCCATATCATTAGATATTTTTATAAGTATCTTTCTGATTATCACTTAACATTAAATCATATGGATGCACCACAATTAACCTGTTGATAATTTTGAGGCCTTTTATTTCCAGTTTTTCATTACTTTAAATAGGTTGGATTAAACAGAGCACAGAGATATTCATCTATCTTTCAAACATTATCTCTTTAGGATAGAGCCTAATTTGTGAGTCAAAGGTCGTAAACATTTAAAGAATGTGTAGCTAGATAGATGGCAGAGATAGATAGATAGATAGATAGATAGATAGATAGATAGATAGATAGATAGATAGATAGACAGACAGACAGACAGACAGACAGACAGAGACAGAATTGTTGTTCTGATTTGTACCTCTGCCAGCCATGCAGGAGAGGGCTTATTTTATCCCCCAACCCCATTCAGGTGTTCTTGTTTTTAATACTTGCTAATTTTAGAAAACACACACAAAGAACTTTGTGTCGGTTTGTATGTAAAACAATTTTTAAAAAGAAAAAAAGAGTAACTTATCTTCCAAATATGAGAGGAGCATCTGATTTAGGGAAAAGAAGAACTTGCAGGAGATGGCTCCCGGCTTCCTCTAGCTAGAGGAAGAGACTCTAGCTACAGTCTCACCTCCTCTGACCCCACAGGGCTCCATGGGGGATGGGAGGCATGCCTGGACCCTGAAGCACTTCAAGAAACCAACCTACTGCAACTTTTGCCACATCATGCTGATGGGTGTTCGGAAGCAAGGCCTGTGCTGCATTTGTGAGTGAACTCCCTTCAAAGCCCTGTTCCCCAGGTTCTAGCTTGCTCTGCACATGGTTGGCTTGTTACAAATGGCAGAGCCAGAGATCAGGCCTGGACCCGCCCTACCCTAAGACCCTGGCCTTTCTGTCCATTCACCAGATACTGGCACAGCGAGGATGACGCTGCACACTCCCCTTGAGTGACAAGCACCTGCTGTGGCATTTTCCTGCTGCACTAGCTGCCCACAGAGGTGGAGTGGTGGGTGGACGTACAGAGACACACTGGGCGATAGCTAGGGACTCTCTTCTCAAGGAACAACGGGAGACTGTTTTGAATTTTCACCAGGCAAGGCCAGCTCCATTTGTCCCCTGCCCCTCCCTGTCCATCCAGAGGGAGGTACAGGCCTTGGCAGGGTGGGGCTGGGGGATGGCTGGGCCTTTCCTAGTTGGTCGCTCACAAGCACCTTCCTCATTTTTTTTTTCTTTTCAGACTGTAAATACACTGTCCACGAGCGCTGCGTGTCCAAAAACATTCCTGGGTGTGTCAAAACGTACTCAAAAACCAAAAAGGGCAACGAGGTTGGTGACATGGATTGCCTTGTTCTCCTGCATGCCATATCCAGGACAACATGTCTGTCACCATGGATTTCTGGGCAGGAAAGGGCTTTGGGAGCTTTATCCAGTCCCTTCTCTGCTTCAAGGACCACCCTTAAGCCATCCCGTCCATCCATCAATTCATTTGGCATCTCCTGGTGTCCACCGTGTGCCAGGCACTGTGCTGGGGGTACACAGGTTAGGAGAGATGGTCCCCAGCCTGCTCAAGAGCTGTGTAGTCTAAGGGAGAGATAGACATGTAAGCAAAGTGCAAAGTAGTGAGATGTGTGCTATAGTGATAGAGCTGTGTGGAACGTACAGTTGAGGCATGAAGGGGAAACCAGGGATAGCTTCACAAAGGAGATGACATTGTAATTGTGTCTCAAACCCAAATCAGGAGGACTTCATGAGGCCTCAAGGAGGACAAGACACTCCAAGCAGCAGAAGCCTTGTGTGTAAAGGCAGGGAGACGTGGCTTACTCTGGGATCTGTACTTAGTTTGGTGTGGCTGTGACAGAGGATGCTGAAAGGGAAGGGAAGAAGATGCGCTCAGACAGTGGTGAGATCCAGAGTGGGAAAGGTCTTGTAAGGCCATCTGAGCAGTCAGAAAGGAGTTTCCTGTGCAGCTAAGGAGCCACTGAAGAGCTTCAAGCACAAGAAGAGACGATTGGGTTTGTTAATTAGGGAGCGTGGTATAGGAGAGAAATCAGAGGGAGAACTCTCTTCCAATACTGAGGACCCAACTGGGGTGGGGTCTACACTCACCCGCTGTAGCATGGTCATGGCTGAGTCTGTGCTGAGTGGCCCCCAGGCCATGCTGGCTATTGAGTGTTTTAACTGTCACACAAGAGAGGGTAGAGAAGATGAAGGGAGAGTTTGAGAGGTCATTTGGAGGTACCACCTGGATCTGGTGATGGGGATGCAGAGGATGGGAGAGGGGCAGAGGGAGGGAGCGGCTCCCAGGTTTCTAGCTTGGCCATTGGGTGGTGCTGTTCACCAAGTCTGGAAACAGACCCTTAGCAAAAAAACTTAGCAGGGGAAGGGCACTCTGCATTGCTGCAGAGGAAAAAGTCTAGGGAGGAATCCGATCAGGAGATGGTTAGCAGATGGGAGTGGTACCCAGCCCTCCCGAAGGACTCCTGAGAGAGAAGGGTGCCTGCAAGGACATGCGTGCATGCCCCATAGACACCGCATGGCCTCTCATCTGCTCCTCCTGCACCAACCCATGCACACCCCCTTCCATGTTCATGCCTTTCACCAGGACATACTGTGCCTCCTGCGCTGAGGCCCTGAGCCTGCAATCTGGCCACCTGCCACACAGAGAAAAGAATGAGACCACTGAGGAGCCAGCAGGGCACATTCACAATCTTCCGAGCCTGCAGGGGCAGCCCAAGTCCTTCACCATCTCTTCAGATCCCAGGGAGGATGGAGAAGGCCATGTGGTGTTAGGGAGACAGCCCTGGACTTGGAGTCAGAAGACCTGGCTGTGAGTCCCTGTACAGCCACTTACCAGCCTGAGAACCAGAGCCAGTCACTTAACCTCTCTGTAGCCTCAATTTTTTTCTCTCTGCAAAATGCAAATAATAATAATAATCCCAGAGCAAATTCAATGTGACCATGTAGATGACAATCAACAAACTGAGCTCTTTAAACCCTCAGGAGAGCAGGCAGAAGGTGAGAAGCCACAAGCCAAACATGACACATCTTCTGGAGCAATAATTTTACCAAAAACATTATGGGAGGAGGTGTTTAAGCAACTTTATTGCTAAGTAATTTAAAACATTTATTCTTATTTAATACAGACATGAATAGTATCAGGCAAATATTTTGTATGTTTTTTATTATTGTGCTTATAGTTGGGCACTGCAGGCCGTGCCCCGCTCTCCCCCAGAGTCCACCATATCTACTTCCTTCTGCTATTTGGGGTGCCTTGGTGGAAATTTTTTACAAGTTCTGTAGAATTCCAGGGGGACAGAATGGAGAGCTCAGCACCCAGATAGTGGTATCATGGGTCAGTTGCTGTCACTATAGCTGCACTTACACACACATAAACGTTCCCATCAGCTTCCCAAGTTCCTAGCCTGCCCTGGTGGTATTTCCGGGCTGGGGACAGATACAACCAGCTCTACAGAAAACAGGTATGAAAGGCACCAGTGGACCTTCCCTAATTTATTTGGACTTTTTGTCTAACTTCCTTCTAGACTGCTTCTCAACCTTGGCTGCATATCATAATCACCCAGAGTGCTTTAAAACATACTAATGGCAGGTCTCACCTTCAGAGTCTCTGATTTATTTGGTCTGGAGTGTGGGCTGGGCACTAGGACATCTGAGCATTAGCTCCCCAGGTGGCTATAATGGGCAGCTAAGGCTGAGGAGGTGGAGGGAAGCATCTCCAAAGGGACAGGACTTTGCTGGAGAGGCCCTTCCAAATGTTCTGTCTCACTGCATCCTTCCCACAATCTCAGAGGTGAGACTTATTCTGCCAATTTCTACAGATGAGGGACCTGAGACTCAGAGAGGTCCAGGAACTGGCCAAAGGTCACCCAGCTGCAAAGTGGAAGATCAGCGATCAGTGACTCCAGCAGTTTTATCTGATGCCCAAGCCCCTCTGAGTTCCCCTGCACCACGCTGCCTCCCCCTTCCAGAAGAGAGCGCACACAAGCACATTACTCTGCAAGGAGTTCTGCAAGATGGGCAGATGGACTGCCAGACAAGATGCTGCTCAGAGGCTTGCCTCCAGGGTGAACGAGCTGTTCAAAATGTGGGCCAAGTGGTTTTCCATCTACCTTGATTAGCATGATAATGGCTAGGCAGGGAGGGACCTTGCTGTGTCATTTGGCAAAGCAACCAGCACCCAATAAGAATCTATGAAACAGGAAACAGCCCCCTGGCCTCTACACTCCCTGTGCTCCTCCAGACCCTTCTCCGGCCCAGGGCCCAGGGGTGTGGTTCTGCCACCTTCCCTGGTATCCTTCGCTTCCCTCCCGCAGGTGATGCAGCACGCGTGGGTGGAAGGGAACTCCTCTGCCAAGTGTGACCGGTGCCACAAAAGTATCAAGTGCTACCAGAGTGTCACCGCCCGACACTGCGTGTGGTGCCGGATGACGGTGGGTTGGTGCCCAGGACGGCCCTGCTTCTTTTCAGTGTGGTTTTCTGCTCAAGCTGCAGCATGGGAGCAGTGAACATCCCACCAGAGGGCATGAGCAAAGCCAGGGGAGCAAGGTTGGGAGAGCCCCAGAGTCCCCGTTCAATGCCCTCAGTCCAGCAGTGCTTCAATGACTCGCCGAGCTGCACAGAAAGAGGGCACCCCAGCAGCAGTGGAGCAAGGGCTGCTTCAGAAGAAGGTGGCCAGGCCACGTCTATGTGGCCGGGCAGCTGGCAACAGCAGGCCGGACCAGGAACTCCCGTCATCTGGGGCCGGGAGCACTGACAGAGTAGGAGAAGAATCAGACACCAGAACGCCTGCTCCTTGGGGCATCAGAGGAAGGAGCACCTGCCCCGAAGGTGCTTTCTTCACAGTGGCCCCAATGCCTGCCAGAGGCCTGGGCCTGCTATCACCACGGCCCAGGCTTAGAGTACATGGCCCCTCTGGATACTGGAGTGCCACTAGCAACCACTGAGCTGTGGCCAAAGCAAACTCAGAGCCATGTCTTGTCCCACTGAGCATGGTATCAGCCTCAAAGAGGAGGTTTCTCCAAACCAGACTGCAGAACTCCCAAAATGCAAAGGCTAAGTCATGGGCTTTACTTCCAGCCTTCCATGAGTTTGTGCGTTGAGATATCTTTCCTTCCAGAACCTCAAAGCCCGGGGAGCAAATATCCCAGAGGGGCTCTGGAATCCACAAGGGGATGCCATGCTGAAGGGCCACTGGCCTGCTCATGACAGCTCCAGCCATGGGCAGGTCTTGGTCTCCTTTCTCTGCCCACGGTAGACTTGGCACCCCTTAGCGCGCGCGCGCGCACACACACACACACACACACACACACACACACATACACACACACATACACACACACGGCGGCGATACTTCCAAAGCCAGCAGGGCATCAGGATTCGGGGAAGCACTAGACAGCTTGCCTCCCCAGCAGGCCTCTAAACCCTCATACATGATGTTTCTTTAATCACTTTCACTCAAATTATCTCCATTTTTTCCTCCAGTTTCACCGCAAATGTGAATTATCAACGTTATGTGATGGTGGGGAACTCAGAGACCACATTTTGCTGCCCACATCGATATGCCCTGTCACCCAGGTAAGTGCTCTTGCCCCCACCAGGGCTCTGGCTTCTCCGGGTTCACATTTCAGATTTAGGCAGCATTTAGACATCCACATCACTCAGACGGCTTCCCCGGCAGCTCATAGGGTTTGTGTTTTCAGTATGAGTTTGAAAGCGGTCCCTCTCAACCTCTCTCCTATGTCCAAACATGGGTCTCCCTCTACCTTGAGGGTTTCCACCTGAGTGTCTCAGCTCTATTTGGAAATGAAAACTACACAATTAAACTTCTTTTATCCCCATCTGAAACTTTCTCTGTCTCCTGTGTTGAAGACATCTCTCTCAAACCAACCACCAAATACTTTAACTTTCTCCTCTTCCCATCTTAAAAATGTTGCTAAGTCCCACTGATTCCTCACATCCCACCCTTGACTTGGCCAGGTATGTTTTTCCCATTAAAAACCTAATAAAAACCACCACTTTGGGAAACAATTTGGCAGTATCTACTAAACTGAAGATACAGAAACTCTATAACCCAACAATTCCCTACCTATGTATCTACCTGAGAAATACAAGCATTTACTCCACCAAAAGACATGTACAAGAATGTTCATAGCAACTTTATAATAGTCAAAAAACAGAAACAAGCTAAATGACCATTACAAAGAAAATAGATAAATAAATTGAGGCATATAGATACATTGTATTCATATTATGGAATATTACAATTCGGTGGAAAATGATGAACTATGCTTAGATGCAAAAATATGGAGAATCTCAAAAATATAGTGCTAAACAAAAGAAGCTAGGTTCATAAGAAGACATGCTTTATGAGTCCATTCATATGAAATTCAAAAGCCAGGCAAAACCAGTATGGTATTAGGAGCCACCAGGGATTGTACTTGTACTGGATTGCATACAAGGGCATATATGTATGCAAAAATTCGCTGAACTGTACAACTAGATTTGAGAATTTTACTATATGTGACATAAACTTCAATAAAATAGATAATAAATATTGAAAAAAACAGGACAAACAAAACTGAGAAAAATGACTTAATACTGTATCTGCTAAGCAGAGAAGCTAAGTCTAAGACCTTGCTTCTCAGAGTTCAAGTTTCTAAATCAACAAACTAGATTTCTGCCCATTTCAGTGATCCCCATGTCCCTTGCCCGTGTTTCGAGGTTAAAGTTAGAGCAAGAGATGACTGAGGCCTGGAGAGTCCTAGAAAAACGCATAGGGGTGCATTCCTGTTTTTAGGTCCAAAGCTCCACTTAGAAAAACTCCTTCGCATGCTGTACTGGCTTCCTATTCTCTTTCTTCATGTTAGCCATTAGTTTTTCATCGGATCTCTTTCTTTATGTTGGGCTTTTTTCCCCAAAAAAGATGTATGTCTTTCCTCTCTTCTCATAGGACAGGCAAAGTGGAAAACCTGATGTCAGCACGTCAGCCAAGGGCGAACTTGTGATGCAGGTACCTCAGTGAGCTCTGAGCTTGGTGGCTCACTCCAAGTGGGTCCAAGGCTGTGGGTGGAGGATGGTGCTTGGGTTCTAAAGAAGTCTATCTCGACATTCGCTTTCTCATCTGACCAATTATATCACACAGGAAGACACTTTATTCCCGGCCTCTGGAGTTAACCTTTGACCACCACACTGTAGGCAAGTGGTGAGGAGGGAGGCTGGCTGGTCTCATTGCTGGTCTCGTTGCCTTTATCATCTTTTTAGGAACAAGTTACATAAAACTTCAATATGCAAGCCTCCTAAATGATGACAAAAATATGGCCTAAAAATAGACAATGGGTTTTCCAAGATTTGCCAAGCTGTCTCCAGAACATGATCTGCCAAAATGAAGCGAATCAGATCCAAAAATTCTCCTTAATCCTTAAATGTATATTTAAGAACTCATTTTTTACTTGGCTTCATCAGTGAACATCTTTTCTTTGTGCCTTCCACAAGTTCCAAGGAATGCAGGGAAGGTGGCCTGGTGAGGTACATAGAGAAGGGAATAGAAAACTAGGCCCTAGAGAAGGTACTAGAGAAGGGAATAGAAAACTAGGCCCTCCTCCTCTGCCTGTGAGCCTTAAGTTTCCTTGTCTGAAAAGGAGAGAAGCATCCCTGCACTGCCCACCTCCCAGAGGTGCTATAACATTAAATGAGAACATGAAGATTGGTGTGTTTTGAAAATTAAAACATAAGACATAATGAGGAGAGAAACTTAATATGTGAGAAAGCTCTAGACATATAGAAGGGCAGCAAGTCAGGTGGCACCCAAACACATGCACACACACACACACACACACACACACCTGCACACACACACCCTGATGTAGGCATGCCAGTTGTTTACACCAGGCATCCATCTGGTTATTCTGCATGTGTTCTCACTGGGCAGTGCCCATGCTGTATGGATTGTTAAATACTTTGAATATCACCCCCAGAGGTAAGGGATTGCTCCTCCAGCTTCAAGATGCATCTGGGTGTCACAAAGACCAGTCACACTAGGCAGATGAAAGAATTCTTAAAAATCATAAAGAATGCTACTGCCATTTTCGAACAACATGGCACTGTGTTTGCTGGGTTTTTAGCATGAGATCTAGAAAAGCAAGCATTAGACACTGAATATGGAGCAGAGTATCAGCTCTGTATCAGTGTGTCCTTCAGCTGAATCCACCAGTATTTACTGAGCACTCACTCCTGTATCTGGTGCTATGAGATCCTTGGAACGAGGGCTATACACACACCCCCACCCTGTTCCTGATGCATTTAAGATCCAGTTGTTTTGAGACACTATGAAAGTAAAACACAAAACAAATACAAATAAAAAATAGACACTCCAGAGGATGCTACATGTGTCAAATGCAATAGTTTTAGTTGCAACAATCAAGGGAAATGTCATAGAGGAGGTGGTTCCTAAATTGGGCCCTGAGAATGAGCAGTGTTTTAAGAGGTTGCAAAGAAGAAAGTGGGCATTTCAGGGCATGGAGCAGGAGAAGCCAGTGCGAGCAGATGCTTGGCTGGGAGTGCGGGAGACACACTCATGAAAGGAGAAAGAGCTGGGCTTGGCTGGAACTGCAGCTGAAGGTTAGGAGGAATTAGGGGATAACAGTAGAATGGAGCTAGATTGAAAAGGCTTTGGATGCCAGGTTAGGAGATTTGGAATTTATTCTCTGGGCAACAAGGCATCATTAAAGGTCTTGAGCAGAAATGGCATGACTGACATGGCGTCCTGAGAAGGAAGTGCATGGGGACAGCATATAGCACTTACCTGGGGTGGGAAAGGCCTGAACAGAGTGGGGATGGCTGCCAGAGATAAAGGGACATGCCAGGGAAAGACTCGGCAGGACAGAACCTTCCCTGGATGACTGGATGAATAATAGTACCTTTCAGAGAATCAGGGAACCAGGACAAGGGACAGTTTCATGGGGAGAGAAGATGAATCAGGTTTGGGAATGTTGAGTTTGGACTGATGGTGAGACATCCAGGTGAAGGTACCCAGTGGACAGTGAGAAATGTGGGACCACAGCTCAGGAGGAAAATCGGGGCTGGAAATGTGGATTTGTAAGGTGCTGGGTGGAAGTGATGTTTCACTCCATGAGCATTATTTTGTTGATGTGTTTGAGCAGATGGCCATAACTTCTAAGACCGTGCTCAGTTATTTTTCTCACAAAATCTACTGTGCTGTGAGCACAATGCCACACCCTTGTGGAAAGATTTGAAGCTACAGTGCCATTGCCCAATCTCTGATCCCAACCACAAACCCTCATTGCCATTAACACCATTTACAGGCCACTCGATCTGGTGACACTTAGCTGACCCTCAGAAAACTCAGCCAGTGGACAAAGACCTACTTCCCCGACCCCCCTCGCCTCATGCCTGGACCGCTTCCCACCCATCTCCCTGAAACTGCTTTAGCAGCAACTCTCCTCTCGCCCCCCCTATTGGGCAAAGCAGACCTAATTTCTTTTTCTTTTACCTTTTAAGTATAAGATNCCAGTGGACAGTGAGAAATGTGGGACCACAGCTCAGGAGGAAAATCGGGGCTGGAAATGTGTATTTGTAAGGTGCTGGGTGGAAGTGATGTTTCACTCCATGAGCATTATTTTGTTGATGTGTTTGAGCAGATGGCCATAACTTCTAAGACCGTGCTCAGTTATTTTTCTCACAAAATCTACTGTGCTGTGAGCACAATGCCACACCCTTGTGGAAAGATTTGAAGCTACAGTGCCATTGCCCCCCCAGTGGACAGTGAGAAATGTGGGACCACAGCTCAGGAGGAAAATCGGGGCTGGAAATGTGGATTTGTAAGGTGCTGGGTGGAAGTGATGTTTCACTCCATGAGCATTATTTTGTTGATGTGTTTGAGCAGATGGCCATAACTTCTAAGACCATGCTCAGTTATTTTTCTCACAAAATCTACTGTGCTGTGAGCACAATGCCACACCCTTGTGGAAAGATTTGAAGCTACAGTGCCATTGCCCAATCTCTGATCCCAACCACAAACCCTCATTGCCATTAACACCATTTACAGGCCACTCGAGCTGGTGACACTTAGCTGACCCTCAGAAAACTCAGCCAGTGGACAAAGACCTACTTCCCCGACCCCCCTCGCCTCATGCCTGGACCGCTTCCCACCCATCTCCCTGAAACTGCTTTAGCAGCAACTCTCCTCTCGCCCCCCCTATTGGGCAAAGCAGACCTAATTTCTTTTTCTTTTACCTTTTAAGTATAAGATCATCCCCACACCGGGTACCCATCCCCTGCTGGTCTTGGTGAACCCCAAGAGTGGAGGGAGACAAGGAGAAAGGTATGTTCTCTTCTTTTTCAAAGTGGAGAGGCTAGCACAGCCTCTCTTGGGTCTCTTCCTCCCCTCGACCATTACAGAGTGGACTGTGGAGACTGGCAGACTCAGGCTCAAACCCTGGCACTACCACATACCACCTATGACCTGGCCCAAGTGACCTAACGTCCCCCTGCCTCGGTTTCCTCCCCTGTAAATGGAGATGATAAAGATTTGCCCTCTCATAGGGTTGTTTTGAATATTAGAGTAGACATGGTACTTAGCCTAGGGCCTGTCACATGAGCCATTATTAGGCTCCCAAGTTCTGAGATGCCTGTTCCTTCCTAGCCTCCCAAGTCTTTTCTGGCCTTCCCACCCCTGAGAAGGCAGGGCATCCACCTCATCAGTGAAGGAAATGCCAGTTTGCTGGTAGCTGGAGACTGCTAAGCAGAATGGGACGAGAAACGAGAATGGGCAAAGCAGCTTCTGCCTACCAGACCTGTTCAGTTCTGGGGTAATGAACAGATAACACCATGATCTGAAACCCAGATTTAAAAAATAACAAGTAAAGTTAAAGCAAGAACACAAGGACCCCTGCCCCAGTCCAAGGGGCTGGACACCCCTCCTGAACTGACCTGATCAGTCTCAAGCTGGAGCCCTGAAGCCAAGCCCAGGTGTGGTCACTGTCTCTCAGCCCTCCCGTACCCCAACCCCACCTCCTGCATTTCCCCCTGATCCCAGGACTTCAGGGTGCCTCTCTCTCAGGGGAGGCCTTTGATGCCTTTTTGCAATCCACAAAGGGCAGACTCACACTACCTAGATCACACAGAACATTTGAGAGAAGTTGTCTGTGGAGGAAAAAGCTTTAGAATGAAAATTCTGTTCTCTGGGTTTCTCTGCCCTGTCCTCTCTGTAAGGGGTGATGCTCCCAGGATTCGGGGCTACAGTCTTGGATGGTGGGCTGGCCTTGAACCAGGGGATGTTGCCAGATGGATCTTGGACATCAGGGTCTGCATGCAATGTTCTCCCCTCTCGAGTTTAAATGGACCCTCATTCCTGCCACTGATGGGCTCCAGAGGTGTTTGCCCTAATGTGACTTCTCATGATGACATTTTCCTTCTCTGTCTCTCTCTACCCCATTTCTTTTTTTTTTTCCATAGAATTCTTCGGAAATTCCACTATCTGCTCAACCCCAAACAAGTTTTCAACCTGGACAATGGGGGGCCCACTCCAGGGTATGGAGATAACAATCCTTACCTCTTGTTTCTTGTCTCTCCTTTGATCCCTGAAGAAGATACCTTTTTTTATCGCCTTTGTAAAATGTCTTTCATCTCTCCACTTGTCCTTCCTGCCATTTTATTCCCTTTCTCTTGTTTTTCTCACATGCCACTCTCTCTCCTCCTGGAGATACTCAGGAACACCCTTATGGCTAACTCTGCTTGAGAAGTGGCCTCCTGTACCCTGTCCCAGGAAAAGCTGTTGATTTTGTGAGAGGGACAGCAGGAAGGGCAGGCTGGTCGAGTATTTTCACTTATTCACAAGGCTTTGTTAGCTGGGATTTTCATGCTGAATCATAAGGCGGGAGAAAGTGTTTTCTTATTGCTGCCAGTCAGCAGTTTGGAAATCTCTTCGGTGACTCATGTGTTCTGCTGTGGGGGCATTTTAGGATCAAGACAGTTGGATAGTCAGTGAAATCACTTTTTTTCTGAACTATCTAATTTTGAGGTTGTTATGCTCCTCCTGGCCCTGCCACTTGCCCATTGGCTCTTTCACTGCTCATTAGCAGAGGGGTGAAAAGAGGCAGAGCAGTGAGAGGAGACAAGGCAGCCCCTTTGTAACAGGACTGAAGGTGGGTGGGAGGAGCTGGCGCCTGTGTTAGCAGCGGCGGACGTGATGCGCGGCCGGTCCCCGTAACCGGAGGCCCCTCCAGCGTCGGGGCGGGAAGGCGCGAGGCCGGGCTTCGTCCCAGTGCACTCGCGCCATCTGCTGGCCAGTCCCGGACCCGGGGCTGTCTCGCTGCGCCCTGGGCTGCGTTTTCCCAGCGCGCAGCCGCTTTGCCCGACCTCCTAACCCGCCTTTCTACTCTGCGTTCAGCAAGACCCCTCAGAGGGGCTTGGAGGAAGGACTCTAGAAAGGGAATCTGACGTTGTTTTCGGTTGTCTGACACAAAGCTGTTATTTATGGCAGTGGCAGTACAAGACCCAGTTAAAAGGAAGAAGGGAATCATTCCTACCATGATTTACCTGTACAACTAATTTTAAAACAGAGCTCACCTATATATATCGCTGCGGTTGCCATCAGTCCCCGGGATTGCCCGTGACTGCTGTATAGCACAGCCTCGTGATTGAGCGGCAGCCTACAAATACCTTTACCAGCCCACTCTCTTCTAGGATATTTTAATAATTGAATACAGTCCTCTAGCTTGACCTCATCTGTGCGAAATTGTTTTCACTCTGGAGGGCGAGCCAGGTGGCTACTTCCAGAGCTGATGTGCGTGTCAGTCTGTAATCAGACGGGCTGTCTAGCTGTAGGGAGCCTCCACTGAGAATTCACTTCCTGTAGGAGAGCAGAGGTCTGCAAGAGACGTGTAAGACAGGAAATGTTAATTTGTCTACACATGCACAGTAACTCCGAAAGCCTCAGGGGTTTCTCAGACCACCAGGCTGGGCGGAGAGGAAGTACTGACCTTCAGCTTCCCAAGTCCACCCCAAGGTGCCCACAGGTCACATTTATTCAAAAGCAGAGGTTTTTGACATTTCTGTGCCAGGAACCCCTTTGGCAGTCTAGTAAAGTCTATGGACCCCTCCTCAGAATAATATTTCTTGATGCATAAAATGAAATAATGTAGAATTATCACGGAAACTAGTTACATTGAAAAACAGTTATGAAAACATTAAAAAACAAGTTCATAACGGGAGTATATGTGCTTTGCCAACACTAAATAGCAAGATCCAGAGGTGAGTCTAATAACTACTGTATATTCAAAGCAGTGATGAGCATAAACAATAGTATGAGATATCTGCCCCAGCTGTAACAAAACATTATGATATCTATGATTGCGACTGCTGACAAAGTCACAGGTACTGTTAATCCCTGTGATGTGATGTGTTGCCTATAATCATAATTGAAGGGAATGCTAAATTTCAATTAGTGCTTAGGGAAGATAAGAACGTAATATTTTCTCCAGGTTCATGACCCTCTGCATTCTGAAGACCCCTTGGAGGTTGATGGTTGAGCAGGTTAACAGCCCTGCTCTAAAGGGTTAAGGCTCCTGAGAAGAGAAGGGTGCTTGATCCACTTAATTCATTGAAGCTTATTTCTATCGGTGCCAAAATGAAGAAACTATGGATTCCTCTGCACATACAGTGGAGAATTTCTAGAAAACCATTTTCTGTTTGTGTTGAATGTTGAATCAGATTCTCCTTATAAAAGGATGGCTCCCTGGGATTTTTTTCCATACCCAGCGGCACTGCATAGTAAGCTCTGGATTCAGAACATTAAGTGACCTTTTCAACCCCAAAAGGAATCAAGGTCTTAACATATTCTCAGGGAACAGGGAGACTCTGACTCAACAGGTATCAAGTGTCAGCCACAACCCAATAAACAAGACCATTTTGGCCTTTCTTCTCCTTCCTAGATTGAACTTCTTCCGTGATACCCCGGACTTCCGTGTTTTGGCCTGCGGAGGAGATGGTACAGTTGGCTGGATTTTGGATTGCATCGGTAAGTATGAGCTGGGAGGGCCTTTACTGTTTATTTATAGTAAGTATATTTAAAGTCAGCAGACAGCAATAAAAAAGAAAGCAAAATGGGGCTATATCTTGTTTGTCCTTGTACCCACCCTCTGACTAATGCTTGATTACATATCTAATTTGAGTGGAATAAAATAAAGAAATAAGACAATGGAAGGATTCCCATAGATGCAGAGATAACAGTTTAATTTCAACCCTTTCCTCAAAACATATCTGTCATACCAAGATTTTGGGCAGTGGCAGGACAGACCAGGTTTGGGGCAGAACTGAGACTCCAGATAGACCCATGGTGGTAGATAAAGACCAGGGAACTACGCAGAGGTGCATAGCCCAGGGAAAATCACCTTGGGGTGAACACCTGGAGCCTGAGTCCAGAGAGCACATCTGGAAAGTGCAGATCAGTGCGAGCAAAGAGATGGCTACGTTGGGCTGTGTCCAATATGCCTAGATCAACAGGGCAGTAGGGAGGACCCAGGCCGGGGATCTGGAGGCCTGAGTTCTACCCCATCGCTGCCTGGATCTGTAGGTCCTTGAACATGTCAGCCCCAATAAGTGATGGAGACCGACTCCGAGATTCTGAGATGGGGGCATATTCCAGATCTAACCCTAGAGAACCCAGATAAACCCTGCAATGTGGAACACAAGGACAGAAGGCAGCCAAGGGAAGCACTGGGAAGGCCCAGAGTGACGAGCCCTGGTTGCCTCTCGTCTTTCCATCTTTCATTCCACAAATGAAATGCAGCCCATGCATTTCTGTGTGCCAGGCTGCTCTCCAGGCACCAGAGGTACAGCAATGAACAAACACAAAACTCCTGCCCTCATGGAGCTTACCTTCTGGAGAGAAGAAATGGGCAATAAACAGAGAAATAAATGAAACACATAGTATGACAGAAGGTGATAAAAACATAGCAGGGACAGGGCAAAGGGAGTGCAGAGGTGGAGTGGGGTTGCAGTCTAAAACCCAGTGGTCAGGGAAGACCTCCCAGAGAAGAGGAAGTCTGCATGGAGACCTGGAGGAGGGGGGAGCCACGTGGATACCCGAGGGAGAGCAGCCCAGGCAGAACCATCAAGTTCAAAGGCCCCGAGGTGGGAGCAGGCTGGGCTGCTGAAGGCAGGCCAAGGTGGCTGAGCAGAGTGCCAGCAGAGAGCCACAGAGGATGAAGCAGAGGTAGGAGGGGGCTGGGTCACTAGGGCATGTGGGACATTATGCAGAATATGGCTTTTATACTGGAGAATCCTGAGACATCAGATGGCTTTGAGCAAACAAGAGACATGGCAGATTAAGAGAAAAGGACAGAAGCAGGGAGACTAGTGAGGAAGCAGTTGCAGTAATCCAAGTGAGAGATGACCGGGGCTTGGACCACAGTGGAAACTGCAGGCGGTGAGAAGTGGGCAGATTCTGGATATCTTTGGAAGGTGGAGGCAACAGGATCTGCTGACAGACTAGATGGGGGAGATGAGAGGAAGGGAGGAGTCAACGATGGACCAGGACTAGACCCTGAGCCAGACAGGGAAGGCTGGGCCTGCAGGGGTCCTAAGTAGACCACCTGGGGGGTGAGAAGGCTCAGGACCGCACACCTGCCGTCTGCTGCTCCCGCGGGTGCTCTGGTTTCCATGGACACAGCCCTGCCAAGCAGCCGCCCACGTCCTCCTGTCACCTCAGGCTCTGGAAGAGGAGTCAACGATGGACCAGGACTAGACCCTGAGCCAGACAGGGAAGGCTGGGCCTGCAGGAGTCCTAAGTAGACCACCTGGGGGGTGAGAAGGCTCAGGACCGCACACCTGCCGTCTGCTGCTCCCACGGGTGCTCTGGTTTCCATGGACACAGCCCTGCCAAGCAGCCGCCCACGTCCTCCTGTCACCTCAGGCTCTGGAATTGTTTGTGGGAGGTGGGAGGAGTCCTCTGGGAGCCAAGGAAGGAAAAACTGATCTGCAGGGGGCGGGTGGCTGTGGTATTGGGCTATTTGCATGGTTCCCCCTTCATCACAAGAGAGACAGTAGGCTTTAGTGAAGTTTTATCAAATTCATCTGCACAGGACACAGGTGATAGAAGCTGCCCAAAACAGAAAGAAAGAAGATCATGTGAGATGCAAGAAATGTTAGGTTTTTTCACAGGTTAGTAGTCCAAAGAGAAAAAACACAGGTAAAAGGAATAACTGCATGTGTTCATTCATTCATTCAACAAATATTTAAGCACTTGTTCAGTGCTCTCCACAACCCCACTGTGGTCCCCTCTCTGATCTGTCCTTCCCCTATGGCCAGAGAGATCTTTCCAGAATATCAGTGGATTCATGGCTTGCATAAAACTCATAAGTGGCTTCCCATTATTCTTAAGATAAAGACAAAAACCTTTCAGGTGATCTACAGGGCCCTGGGAGGTCCAGCCACTGCCCACCTTTCCAGCCTTATTTCATAGCTCCATCCCTCTCCCTCCCTCTGCACTCCAGCACCCAGCCTTGTCTCAGACCCTTGAATGCACCAGCCTCCCTTCTACCACAGGACCTTTGCATAAGCTGTTTTGCCTGTCTGCAATGCTCCCCCAGCCTTTACTCAGTCAGCTTCTGCTTCAGATCTCAGCTATTGTCTGTCTGCCTCAGGGGAGTCTCCCCTGACACACTGTCAGCCCCAGTCACCTTATTACAGGCCCATGCTCCTTTCCTTTCCAGCATGAATGTGAAATTACACATTCTTTATATGAAGACCTCATTGGTACCTGCCCCTCCTGCTCGGCTGTAAGAACAATGAGGGCCCAAGCCATGGCTTTCTGCCTGCTATTTGAGCTGCCGCATCTAAAACACCATGTGACATGTTGGAGGCTCCAGTAACTATGTGTGCAGATGCTGTGCTGAGTGGGACACAGTCCCCCTGGGGAGATTACAGCACATTCAGGGAACAATTAAATAGACAATCATAAGAGACTGTGGTGAGGTCATCCCTGGTGCTAAAGAAACACTCAGAAGAGGCATCAGGTCCAGGCTGAGGCAACCAGGGACGGGTTCCCAGCAGCGGCTTCTGAGTTGAATGATAGAGAGCTCTGTGATTTAAGGAGCTGAAAACACTTCAGGATGGTTGATGTGTTGAGTGGGAGGTAGGATGAACAGAAGGATGAGGCCAGGGAGAGAGGCAGAGCCTGGATCCTGAGGCTTCATGTGGCAGGCTAAGGAGCAAAGGGGAGCCACACTGAAGTGACAGCAGTGGACCAGCGTGGTGGGGCTGTGGCTCAGGGATGGCCCCCCTTGGTGGAAGTGTGGAGAATGCATTAGGAGGGTCAGACTGAGGCCAAGAGTGCAGAGAGGAGGTCGTGGCAGCAATACCAGTGGGGAGGAATTATACCTGCACTCAGGTGTCGCCATGGGAATGGAGAGACAAGATTGCTTGGAGATTAAGGAGGGAGCATGTAGAAAATGATGTGTGAACAGATGTGGGTAGGGGGGAGGGAGAAACCTAGGATGACATTCTGGTTTCTAGCCTCAGCACCGTGAGGATGGTTGGCCTGCTCAGGTGGGACCACAGAAGAAGGAGCAAGCATAACAAGACAAGAGGGAACTGCATGTGCAAAGGCGGGAGGCACAAACTCGAACCACGTGCTATGGGGACAATGGGAAGGTCCACTGTATTGTTCTGTTCTCCACTTGAGCCCTTTTGGTGTTAATCACAGCCCTGGGTCTTGCCTGAGCTCAGCCACTTAGGGCACAGGTCAGACAACCTGGGGGATCTGTGAGCTCCTGCTTTGCCTGGGTAGCCCAGCTTGAGCCTCACCCCCTGATTCCTGCATCTCCCCCTCTCCCAATCCCACTACTCATATCCAGGGGCACCATGCACACCAGAGTCCATGCAAAACCACACCCCCCAGAACCCAGTGGGTACCTGTGCCTCCCTCTTCAGCTTTCCCAGCCCAGCCAACACACGGCTGTTGATCTGTGGCCAGATGAAAACATGTTCTGCTGTGCTTTCTCTGATGGTTCTGTCTGATGCTCCTTCACAACCATCAGAGGAGAAAAGATTAGGAACCTGTGTATTTGCAATTCTGGGAGGTGGTGAAGATCCAAACTGGTATATGGGTACCCAATGACACCTGGAGGTTTTGCCTGTTTAACACAATGTTATTTTTTGAACTTTTACACCTGAATGACTTTAGGTGAGCATCTCCAGTTTTCTAAATGCCCACCATTCCCAAATATCCTCAGCCTACCTGTTTTATTGATCTATGCACCTGCCTTCAGTTACAGGTTAATTTATCTCAATATGAAAAACAAATTAACATATTCAGCTCAATTTGTAGTGGCTCACGCACCTCAGATGGAATAAATGGCTTTAGGAAGTAGTGTGTTACCCATCATGGGAGGTATTCCAACAAAAAATGTTAGGGAGGGGTTCAAGCATCAGATCAGGGATAACAAAATAACTCAAACATTGTGTAATCCCATGGCATATGGTTTCCTTCGTCTGTCTGGGTTGCAGATAAAGCCTGCTTCACAAAGCATCCACCAGTGGCTGTCCTGCCTCTTGGAACAGGAAATGACCTTGCACGTTGTCTCCGCTGGGGAGGAGGTGAGTCTGCGTGCTTGTGGCACTAGCCTGGAAACAAATGTTCCAGATTACAGGGATGCTTTACAAAACGAGGATGAACTTATCCTTTTATGTGTCACATTGCACTAAGTAATAAACTCTGCAGTGGTATCTAATCCGTGACCCTTTCCCTGCCCTCCATTCCACACCAGTGTGGAATAGGAGCTCCTCTTCTAGGCTCCAGAAACCCTGTGTTCACCCCTCCTGAAACCATCAGTTTAGAGCCTGCCCAGTGGAGCATAGTCAGCTTTAGGATAAAAACCATTATTTATTTGTCCCTTCCCCTGTATTCATCCCAGTCAGGGCTCACTTAGTTGTTTTCTGTACAAAATTCCCCTTTCCCCAAATTACTGGCTTTCTGAATTAGGACTCAATACAGACTGAATTGCCACCTCACCAATTACTTACAGTCACTAGGGACATCCACATTGTCCTAGGCCTTCATGGCCATGGACCCTCATTTTGAAATTCCTCTAAGGGGAATACAGACTAGTAAATAGCTTACAGAGCAAGGGGCAGGAGCTAAGGAGAACCTTGCAAACTGCAGCAGTCCCCATGGAGCTGGGCATGCTCCAGATTGTGGAGAAGTTCAGCTCAGCACATGGAGTGGACAGATCAGTCTGCAGGCAAAAGAGGGGCAGGGACTCCAGACGGCCGATCAATTCAGAGAGTGATTCAAGACCAGTCAGGGCAGTGCTCAATGCTCAGAGACAGGTTCATGGTTGGTGGGCAGGGACAGAGCAAGCAGGAGCAACCCTAGGGCCATCTTAAAATTCTCCTCCATGACACAGTCCTGGAATGGGTCTGTTCTCCTGTGCACAGCATCCCACCATCCAGCCCTCCAGTTCTCTAGGGTTTGCTTCGGTCACACCTGTCCACCTTTAGTCAGCACCTACCCCCACCCCCCACTACTTGGGCTTTCAAGTCACCCCAGCCTCTTTCTAATTATTCTCTACTGTCCTCACCTTGTCCATGGCTCAGGGAACACATGGGGAGTCTCCTGGTCACAGATACCCATGGGGTTACCTGTCCTGACAGCTACCTGTGCATCAGCAATAACTTAGCCTTTCTGTGCTGGTGGCAAATGCAATGCCATCCTCCACAGGTTATGAAGGGGGCAGCTTGACGAAAATCCTGAAGGAAATCTAGGACTCAATACAGACTGAATTGCCACCTCACCAATTACTTACAGTCACTAGGGACATCCAGATTGTCCTAGGCCTTCATGGCCATGGACCCTCATTTTGAAATTCCTCTAAGGGGAATACAGACTAGTAAACAGCTTACAGAGCAAGGGGCAGGAGCTAAGGAGAACCTTGCAAACTGCAGCAGTCCCCATGGAGCTGGGCATGCTCCAGATTGTGGAGAAGTTCAGCTCAGCACATGGAGTGGACAGATCAGTCTGCAGGCAAAAGAGTGGCAGGGACTCCAGATGGCCAATCAATTCAGAGAGTGATTCAAGACCAGTCAGGGCAGTGCTCAATGCTCAGAGACAGGTTCATGGTTAGTGGGCAGGGACAGAGCAAGCAGGAGCAACCCTAGGGCCATCTCAAAATTCTCCCCCATGACACAGTCCTGGAATGGGTCTGTTGTTCTCCCGTGCACAGCATCCCACCACCCAACCCTCCAGTTCTCTAGGGTTTGCTTTGGCCACGCCTGTCCACCTTTAGTCAGCACCTACCCCCACCCCCCACTACTTGGGCTTTCAAGTCACCCCAACCCCTTTTTAATTACTCCCTACTGTCCTCACCTTGTCCATGGCTCAGGGAACACATGGGGAGTCTCCCGGTCACAGATACCCATGGGGTTACCTGTCCTGACAGCTACCTGTGCATCAGCAATAACTTAGCCTTTCTGTGCTAGTGGCAAATGCAATGCCATCCTCCACAGGTTATGAAGGGGGCAGCTTGACGAAAATCCTGAAGGAAATCGAGCAGAGCCCGTTGGTAATGCTGGACCGCTGGCATCTGGAAGTCATCCCCCGAGAGGAGGTGGAGAATGGGGACCAGGTCCCGTACAGCATCATGAACAACTATTTCTCCATTGGTGTGGTGAGTTGGTCAGGGACTGCCCTTCTGCATGGAAGAGAAGTGCCCAGGAAGTGTTCCAGTTTTCCATTGTCCCCTCTGTGTCCCTACTCTTTACCTGTCTTACCTGCCCCCAGCCCTGACTTGAGCCCAGCATCCTGGAATGCGACCCAGATGTGGACACCCTGGTTGCACTTTCTCCCATCCTCGATTATGGAGGAAATTCTTTCACCTATAATTTTACCTAACACAAGAAAAGACTGGAAATTTTCAAAGGACATATTTACTCTTTGGGTAATATGAAGCAGTTAAAGGAAAGTAACACCAAGAAATAACCAAGGGGCGAGGTGAGGAGGAGATGTTCATGTGAGCTTCAGGAACTGGGAATTCTGATCCTCAAGTGAGGCTCATGTGGTCCCAAGCTGGTGTGGTAGGCTTAGGACTCAGAATCCCTTCTCTCCTAGTCTCTTCCCTCCTCTCAGCCCCATTCCACACACTCCAAGTGCTTCACGAACATCTGGGGGCATCTCCTCCCATCTGATCCCTCAGGCTGAGCGCCATGCTCCTCTCTGTTGCTCCCACAGCTCTTTATGCCCAACTCATCAGTGCACTCTCTGCATTAGACTGAAGGGATTGGTTGTCTCCCCCTCCACACACACACACACACACACGCACGCACACACACCCACAACACACACAACACATGCACACAACACACACGCACACACACACGCACACACATGCACACACACAACACACACGCACGCAGACACGCGCACACACACACACATGCACACACGCACACACACGCGCGCACACACGCACACATACACACACACACGGAGCAAGGACAGTGACGTTCCTCTTTCAGTCCCAGCACATCTAGTGTGGCTCAGTTAGATTGTTTCACCGAACTCAGTTTCTGATCCAGAGGATCGAGGTGAGCACTGCTTCCCAGGCTGTTTGTGGGGAATCAATCATTTTTATGAATAGAGCTGGGGTTTGGGAGGGGGTGCGGCAAAGACACAGCATTTATTGAGCACCTACTGTATACTCTCCACTGTGCTGGGCTTTATATATTCTAGTCCTCTCAGCAACCCTGCAGGTATCTTGTCCCCATCATTCTTATCACCTGTGCCTCTTTTGAAAATTTTGGTGATTTAAAAAGAAAAAAGGAAAGAGAAGGGAAATGATAGGTACCTTGGGGGGATAGCAAGTTTAAGGAAAGGGTTTTATTTTTTAATGAGAAAGCTAAAAGGAGAACCATGAAAGAGGGAAGGATTAAAGATAATAATACTTTTTATTTACAGAAGGATTTAAAATTTACCATATTTATAGATATTTTCTTGATTCTTATTACTACACTGAAGAGTTTTATCTCTATTTTATGAGTGAGGAAACAGAGACTCAGTTGAAGTGATTCACCTTCATTTTCTGACTCCTCTTTTTCTATTACTGAGACAAGAGAGGCATTGCTGGACTCATGATCAGGTACTGAGAGAAAGGAGGTGGTGGACTGGGGGCAAGTTTAGGTGTTCCTTGCCCTGATCTGGTTCACCCCCGAGGCCCCCCTGCCTCAGGGGGGACATCCTTCCCTACACCTCTTATGGGTGCCCCTCCAGTGACCTATGCACACACCTCCCTCCTCTTCTGGCTAGAGGCCCCTCTCCTTTTTGGACCAGCTGCTCAGGCTCCACCTCCTCTACAGGAGCATGTGCAGCCTTCAACTCCTGCAAATCAGATGGGACTGACAGGTCTGGGATTCAGGGGACTCCTGGAGCATGAGCTTCCCACCATTACAGCTATGCAAACCTTGTGTCTTTTTCAGATAGTAACCAGAGTATAACTTGCTAACATTTATTGAATATCTACTGCACACCAGACCCAGTTTCCCTATTGGTAGAGATAGTCATCATTCATTTGTGTTTCGTAAGAAGGAACTATAGCTTAAAGCAACACGGAAACAAGTCAAAGCTGGTGAGTGGCGGAGCCCAGAATCAAGAGTGTTGAGCTCTAGAGCTGACTGAGCCGTGGATGACTGAGCAATGTGGCCTCTGATAGCCCCGAGAAATTCTTGAGAAAACAAGTAACCAACACACAATCCTAACAGAGTCTGGGACTGACATTTGCAGAAGGTCTTGCTCCCTATTTGACTTCCCAGACTTTGTAAGAGGAGAAGTAGGTATGTAAACCAACCCAGCTTTACTTCCTTATGATGATTAAATAGAGTCAGACTCTGGCAAAGAGAGCGCTGCTGAGTCTTTGCCTCTTTTTTTTTTTAATGTTAATTGGCACATTGTAATTGTACATGCTTATGGGGCACTGAAGGACCTGGAATGTCTTATTGATATCAAATGTCTGCTGCCTTGCATTTATAAAGATGATGACAGTCACCACTGCTATTATGCCCCTTGGTGCTGTGGATCAGAATTTTCCCTGATGATGGTACTTGGCCCCCCTGGTGCCAATAGAACCCATTTAATAGATGGAGGGATAAATAAGGCAGACTCCCCTGACGTATCCAGGAAGTGACATGGCCTCATCACCACCACATCCCCATCGTCCCTCTGCCAGCTTCCCACTCATGAAGAGTTAAGGCAGCTGGCCTCATCTGTCTTTCTAACTGATAACATCCACTGGCAAGAAATTTTAGACATAGTCTTTCAGGATGCCATTTTCTCTGACTCTCTGGCCTCCTCCTCCCCGCTCTTTATTTTTGGAATAGCAGAAATGTGAGGATAGCCAGGTATCAGTGACAGGAAGTTTGGACAGCAAAATAATTCCTGGGGTATGTGTAACTCTGAAGTCCTCACAGGCTCTGCTTTCACTGAGCCTTAACAGGATGGGTGAACAGTTAATCCCTTGATTCAATGAAATCTATTTCTGTTGCTAGGGGATCCCAGGGGCCAAGGAGAGGCTGCGGTCGTTACACTAGTTCACCCACCATTTTCCACCTTACAGATTGTTATTAGATTTCACCAGCCACGGTTTCCACAATAATAAGCCTCCTACCCATTAGGGAATTTGTCAACAATGCATCATTTTTCCTGCAAACTTTTGGATTCCCTGAGCATCGGATTCTTGTTTGTCACCCGTGAGAGCCATGAAGGTACTAAGACCATGGGACCCACTAAGGAGTGACTTGGACAAGGGGTCTGCAATCTTTTCTATTCCCCAATCTGCCAGAATTTTTCATAATTTTTTGTTATGAAAAATAATTCATCTTTTCAAATAATTTGTCTTTTTTTCTCCTTTCTGTCTTTTTATCTCCTTAAGTTGCCAAGCTGATTTAGACCTAAATTATCCAATATGGTAGCCATTAGCCAGATGTGGATATTGTTCACTTGAAATGGGGCCTGGTCTAAATTGAGATGTGCTGTATGTGTAACATACACAATAAATTTCAAAACTGTGATATGAAAAAAAATTTTTTAATATTTCAGTAATTTTTATATTGGTTACATGTTGTAATGATAATATTGGGGGCACATTGGGTTAATTAAAATATATTATTAAAATTAATTTTATCTCCTTGTTTTGACTTTTTTATCTGGCTACTAGAAAATTTTAAATTATATATGTGGCTTACATTATATTTCTATTGGACAGCACTGGCCTAGACATTCCAATATCTCAGAGTTCAAATTACTGCTGCTTATATTTGAAAAGGTCCCAAAATTCTTTGTCCAATCATGTGCTATGAGTCTTAGTTCAAGAAAGAGTAGCCCCATAACCCTACCTCCCGTCATCTCCTCTTCACCCCATACCTCATAGAAAAGACCCCGGATAGTGAGGCCATCAGAAATGCCAGCATAGCACCCATGGCTTTGGAATTCCCATCTCCCCACTTCAGAACAGAAGTCACATTTTGCTGTATCACCAAGAAAGGTTTGGACTGTTGTAGCCCTAGTTCCTAAAATTTAAATAAAATCACTACTGATTGTAAATGTGTCCAGGTCAGTGCAGAGAAGCTAATACAGAGAAGCTCAGGGAGTGAAGGTGAATTTTGACTCTCTTTTTAATCCTCAAGTACAGAAGCATGGTCAGAGCCTTCACTATTATTGCCTTTTCAAGAACTAACAGCAAAGGAGCTGCTCATCTCTCCCTTGACTAATACAGAGAAGCTCAGGGAGTGAAGGTGAATTTTGACTCTCTTTTTAATCCTCAAGTAGAGAAGCATGGTCAGAGCCTTCACTATTATTGCCTTTTCAAGAACTAACAGCAAAGGAGCTGCTCATCTCTCCCTTGCTACTTTGTGTACTTACCAAGGAATTACATTGTCAAATAAGGAAACACATGCTTAACTAGTAATATTAAGGCTGGTCTTTGTGAAAAGAAGCTTTGTAAAACCTAGTTATGGAAAACCCAAGGACGATCAGAAGTGAACAGAAAGAAGAGGCACACACACATATCCCATAGAATACGAGCACCAGGAGTGGTAGCAGCAGTATTGGGGATAGGGGGTGGTGAGGGACAAACCATGCCAGGCAACATGTGATTTGTTTTTTTCTTTTACTTCTTTTTTCTCTGGCAGAAGAAAATCGGTGCTTCAAAGGAGCACGAGGAGATGGAATGTTTTCTTGAATTCTAGAGAGGCATTTGACAAATGTCAATGAATCTTATTGAGAGTGTTCACTAAAACCTTCTCAGAGAGAGGAGGTGGTGCAGTCTAGGAGCACAAAGCACTGCTGCTCAGAGAAGCTGTGCAGCCTGCATAGTGCCCAGAGGCAGAGGCCTAGCTGGGGTTTGCACAACTCCCACCGTGCATCATAGGGAGCCTCACGAAGACCTTCAAACTCTTGATGTGTCTTAAACTAAAAAATATATCAAGAGCTAAAGTTTAACTGCTGAAGTCCCAGGCATTATTTCAGCAACAAATGTTTGCCAATCACAAAAGAAGCCCGTCTTCTTCACTTGCCATCCCACTTTTCAAATGCAGGTGTTTGGCTGGGGTTACTCCTGTGCCAAGTGCAGCTCACCACACAGAGACATGCTCAGAAAGCTCCTACCCTGAACTATACCTCCTGATGTTAAAAAAAAAATCAACACTCATAAATTTCCATATAGGAAATGGAATTAATATGCACTAGCTGAAAATTCACTGTATGGAATTCAGGTGTCTTTTAGCCACATATTCCAGTAAATGAGTTTCCGGTTTTTTGGGTTTTTTTTGTTGTTGTTGTTTTTAACAAATCTGAATCAACTCCCTTGTTTCTCTGTCACCTTCATCTCCAGCCCAATTAGCCTGTTTATTTCTGAAGGCCAGTACCTACACCCAAAGTGCTGGCATGAGACCTGAGCAGTAAAGGGACGTTACACATTCTTCTGCTGGAAAATGAGACAGTTAACAGGGTGGAAGATCAAGTTTGAGAAGGAAAGATGAGTTCAGTAGGTTTGAAGCTCAGGGTTGGTTGTAGAGATACACACTGTGGAGCCATCAGCAACTGGATGCTAGTAACAACCGTCATAACTCATGAGATGGCCCATGGTGTGGGGTGCAGGATGCAGAGGGGACTCAGGGCCAAGAAGTTCTGGTCAAAGGATGGAGAGCCTGCGAGAACGTGTCATGGGAGCCACCCCTGACACGTGAGTTCTGAAGTATAGGTGGCCAACAGTGCAGCAAAGGGACATACTAATAGGACAGCAAAGTGTCCATAACATGTGGTGATGAGATTGTTATCCACCTTGGAGAGAGTCCTTTGGGTGGAGTGATCAAGAAGCAGAAGTCAGAAGTTGAATATATTTTTTGTTGTTGTTATCTACTAAGCATGTCACCCAATTCCACTAATTATTTCTACTGATATGGATGATTAAGAGTTAATATAGGGCCGGCCCCATGGCTCACTTGGGAGAATGCAGCGCTGGTAGCGCCAAGGCCATGGGTTTGGATCCTATATGGGGATGGCCGGTGCACTCACTGGCTGAGAGTGGTGCCGACAGCACCAAGCTAAGGGTTACAATCCCCTTACCGGTCAAAAAAAAAAAAAAAGAGTTAATATAAAATAGCATCTACCAGCGTCGGGTTCCTGGTTTTGACAATGTACTACAGTTACGTAATATGTTATCATGGGGGGAAGCTGGATGAAAGGACGTAGGAACTCTGGACTATTTTTGTAATTTCTTGGGAGTGAAAATATTCCAAAATAAAAAGTATTTAAAAATTAAAAAGTTAATATGGAAAGGCATTTCCAGAGACTTAACACTCAACCCCACACACAGGCTTCAGCTCTCTAACTGCTCACAGACCCAGACACCCTCTCTCTCCTCAAAGGGCACTGGCTTCCCCCTTCACCCCCAAACTATCTGCTTCTCACTGAGTCAGGGATAGAGTGAAAATTGAAAGAGCTCCAGAGTCCACTGGTGTAGGCTCGAAGTATACTGGTGGCACCAGCTCCTACCCTCAGATGTGGTGTTGAGCCTCTGTCAGGTCCTTGGCTGTGACATGGAGTCTCAGGGCTGGGGATACAGGGTGGGAGTGTGTGTGTCCCTCCCTGCCATATTGCACGGTCATGACCACTCACCAGGGATCTGCTTTCATCTCTTTTGCTTTCAGGATGCCTCCATTGCACACAGATTCCACATGATGAGAGAGAAACACCCTGAAAAATTCAACAGCAGGTAAGAGGGCTACAGACCTGGCTGCTCTGCGTGGCTGGCCAGATGGAGGCCTCCCGCCTGCTCTGTCATGGAAATGTTCTTGGCCCAGGCCACCCAGGGTCTTAGCTTTCCTGCCACATTGCCGGAAGGAGGGTTTCCATTTCCAAGAAAAAAAAAATGTCAGAAACCTGCTGCAGCCTGGTGGACTGTCTGCTCCCAGAGGATCTCTGCAGAGGGAGGGATTGGGGGTGGCAGGAAGCGGGGTGTGGAGTGCTGCCCTTGGGGGTAGTGGGGAGAAATGTCTGCTCTTGGCTAACTAGAATCCCATCCTGTGGCTTGGCCGCTTTCTCCAAATGTACAGCTCCTTCATCCCCAACCCCACCCTCCCAATTTTGCTGGGGAGGGGCAGCAAGGCTGGAAAGGGCATTTTCTCTCTGTCTCAGATGGGAAGAGGTGGCAGCTCCAAGGCTTGGACTGAGAGGGTGTCACCTCTGCCTCCCGAACAGCAGAGGGCAGCAGTAGAGTGCCCCTCAAATGCAGGAGACCTGGAGCCCAACATGTCCCAGCCTCAGCCTGGGCACTCTGTGTGAAGTCTGGATATGAGGTTCACAAATGAAAGCAAAGAGCAAAGCAGGTCATTTGCAAACAAAACCAAACCCTACTTGTTTGCAGGAGGGAATTTGCCAGAACTGAGTTGTGACTGGCATATAGCTACCCCTGGAGATTGTTAAATTACCTTTCTCCCTTCTTCCTTCTTTCTCTTTTTCTTCTCACTGGTTAATTTCCACCTTTTCTCTTTCCTCTTTGTTGTACTATTTCAACATGACCACTGGATCCCACCCTCAAGCTCAGGCAGGTGGGGAGGAGGGTGGATAATAACTTGGACTTGATCTTTGAACCTGAAGGAATTGACTTTTATTTAGTCCACAGAATTCTCTTCAAAGCAGAGGTTAGAGTGTTGCCTGAAGACATTCATTTAGAGCCCAGCACCCCCAAAGAGCTTGCCATTTTCATTTCCTACCTTTTGCCCTGACCCCACAGCCTGGAAGGTTAACCAAGAAGAAGAAAATCTCTTTAGGGATCAGAAATTGAACATCGCTAAGTTATTTAAGCTTCAGCTAGAGTGATCTGTGAGATCTAATAGCAGCTGAACTAACCTTATCAGGAGGTGTGTTCTGTCACAGCATATTCCTTCTGGCTGTCCTGCACACACAACATACACACTTGCTCTGTGCTATTAACATGTGTACTTCCAGCCCCTACTACTATAGTCACAAATATACAATTCAATTGATTATCCTCTTACAGTCTTTTTTACTCCACTATTCATACACAATAACTTGAAAAAAATATATTCCTTTTCCACCCATTCCACAGACTTTTAAGGTCCTCTTTTTACAAAAGTACACCCTATTACATACTCATTCACATGTGCCTAAGATGCCATATGCTTGTGACATCCGTGGGGGTCATTCATTCATTCAACAGTATCTTTTGAAAACATTTTACATACCAGACACTGTTCTGTAGGTGTCTTGGATAGACCTGTGTAGGGGAATTGCGGCTCAGTGGTGGAAACAGCCTTGAAGGCAGATGTGCTGAATGATTTGTGTTATGTAAATAGAGGTGACCTATGGGAACACACAGTAAGGGCATAGAACTAGGCATCGAGGGTTTTCCAACAACAAAGATGCCTGAATCGAGACACAGAAAACAAGTACTATTTTCCAGGTTGATAAAAAGAGAAGGGCAACTCACAGAAAAGGAATCAAATGTACGAAAAGATACAAAGGAGTGAGAGAGTGCAGCATGTTTGGGGAACAGCAAGCCATTTAGTGTGGCTGGTTTTATGGGAAAGAAGCAAAACCTCTGTAGTTTGTAGAGATCAAGGAAGCAGAGGGAGGGAGAAATTTCTCCGTATTGCAAAAAGTCAGTAAACAGGTCAACATACGACACAAATAGAGCAATCACCAATCACCCATGTGGCTAAGTGCAATTAGAAAAATACATCTGTCAGAAAAAATTGCAGTGTACAATTTCCATGCAAAGTATGAACAAATTCCTTGTGATCTATATAACTCTTTTTCCTTCCCACTTCCCAGATCTCATTAACTAGACTACTCTTTGAGGTTAGATTCATGCCTCACCCTTCACCTGGTTGAGGTCAAGGTAGTGCTGTCGCCTGGGGTGACAGGCACATGGATTTGCAAGTAAATTCCTGTGCTTGCCTAATAAGTAAAGACATAGAGGGATAGGGGCAAAACCTCTTTCACAAGGTCATCAAACACTTACTATTAAGAACTTGGGATCCTTGCCACTTCTACCCTGCCCGCTTGCCCACGTCCAAAATACCCAGGAGTGCCCAATTTGTCCACTGAGAGCAGGCAGGCAGCCATTTTCTTCAGACGTCTTTATTTAGCATTGGAGATGTTTTTAAATAGGCAGGTGGTTGTTGCCATGGTTACCCCATTACACCAGCTTACTATTAAGAACTTGGGATCCTTGCCACTTCTACCCTGCCCGCTTGCCCACGTCCAAAATATCCAGGAGTGCCCAATTTGTCCACTGAGAGCAGGCAGGCAGCCATTTTCTTCAGGCGTCTTTATTTAGCATTGGAGATGTTTTTAAATAGGCAGGTGGTTGTTGCCATGGTTACCCCATTACACCAGCCGGTAAACTTAGGAAGGGCCACAAGTGATAGGAAGAAAGCTTGATACCCAGGATTTGAAGTTTCCAGATTAAGTCTCTGTGAAAGGTTTTGTATATATGGAATCTATACATAAAAGTTACTTAATTCCAGTGTCACTGTCAGTGAGTGTCTAGAAAGAGAAGTGTAACTTTGGGATTTTTTTATTGTTTGTCAGAAACTCAGAGCACTTGAGGAATGTGTTGTTCCAAACCTGTAGAGTGTCACCCACTTGAATATGTCCCTCAGCAGTTGAGGCTGAAGCAAGTTATTTCCTGTTAGGCCCTTCAAAGAGACCGCCACAGCACTTCATTCCTACCAGAAGCTGGCCACCTTTCCCAAAAGCCCTGTGTAATTAACAGGCTCTGGAGTGTTAGCCTTCTTGGAGCCAGGCCCATGGAGTAGCTGATGAGGGGTTCCCCAGAAGCCCTAATGTAGCTTGCGTCCTTAAGAGGTTGGAAATATATCTTGCAAATAACTAAGCACTGAGTAGATATTTATAGAAGGAGGCAGCAGGGTATAGACCAAGTTGGCATCAAAACTTGGCTCTGCCACTTACTAGCTATGTGACCTTAGGCAAGTTAATCTTTTAATCTTTTGCTTCCTCCCTTGAAAATCTTGCGAGGTTTCTGTAAGTATTTAATGAGGTAATAGGTAAATTCATAGAACATAGTAGGTTCTCTGTAAACATTTGTTGCTAAATGTTGTAGAATGACAAGCATGAGGAAAGCATTGCTTAATAAAAGGCCTTTTGACAGAGCGGCAAGTGGGGTTCAACTATCACAGGATCTTTGCTCCAATGACATGGCCCTTAAACTGAAAAGCTGGAGGACAGTTAAAAGTTGGAGGACACCAGCAGTAATACATCGAGTCTGTCCAAATCTCTCTCCTAGAAGTGGGAGGATGGTACCATTAGGTTGGGTTGGAGTCTACAGGACTAGAGCTATAGAGGAAAATTCCTGCCACTGGCTCCATTAGGATCCAAGAGGGAGAAGTTGGGGGTCTGAATGCTAGAGATTCTATGTCCAAATGCCAAGTTCGGGCTAGAGGCAGGGTGAAGGTAGGGGGTCACAGAACCCAGCTGAAATGGTACCAGGAGGAATGGTACAGGAGTAAGAGGTGCAGGACAGGTGCCTCATGCTCCGTGGGTGCTTAGGCTCACCAACCAGGGCCATGGGGTGCACCACTGGTGGATAGGCAGATAGCCCCGGGTGAAGGTAGGGGGTCACAGAACCCAGCTGAAATGGTACCAGGAGGAATGGTACAGGAGTAATGGAAAGGTGCAGGACAGCTGCCCCATGCTCCGTGGGTGCTTAGGCTCACCAACCAGGGCCATGGGGTGCACCACTGGTGGATAGGCAGATAGCCCCGGGGGTCAGATGCGGGATATGTGACCACACTTCCCTCACTGGTGCTCCTCTCCCCTCACCCACCCACTCCCCACCGCCACCCCTGACCTTAGATGAACAGAGAGATGTTCTGTGGAAGGCCAGATAGAAACCAGCAGAGTTCAAGTCATGCAAGTCTGAAAATCAAAGAGCCTCCTCTCTTGAACACTTGTGGTAGGCTCTGCAGTCACAGGCATAAAATGCACCATCATTTGCATAGGGCTTTCTCTTTTTTTTATCCCAAAATGAAACCATTCTAAGTTATTTTTTCCAGGAGTGCTGTGAGGTAGCCCAGGATTACAGCCCAGATCTTTGTCCCAAGCATAAAGGTACAACAGCAGTAAATATAGCAGAGTTAAAAGTCCTCACTGATGGCGTCTTTGTTCTGTGCCCCGAATAGGGCTTTGCTCTTCTCATCTAATATTCAGCACCGCAAAAGAGACCTGTTCTAGGTACCCAGAGGCCCAAACTGTCTGCACCTGTTTCCCTCAACATATCAAGACTATTTTTCAAATGAAGTTGATTTTGGCATTTTCTATTTTTATTCTTATTCCTCTAGATATTTATAAAGCAAATGCAAACCTTATGCTTCGTGTTCAAGTACTTTTGACTCTTCAAGTCAGTTCTGACAGAGCAACTTGCTTAATTACTTGAATGTTTATATACTAACCCACAAAAATGTTCTAGTCCCCCACTCTCCCCACACCTCCTTGGGAAAGACATAGAGAGTAAAATAAATGAAATATGGGTTCATGTTTTTTTCACCAGGCACTCATCATTATGCAACTGCAGAAGTCCAGGGGATTTTTGACTAGATTATTTGTTTACAGTTGGCCCTTGATTATTTGCAGAAATGAGGGAGTAGCCACATGGACCATCTAAAGGCGTCGATGATCAAAGATTTTGGGAGGCAGTTATTAATATTCGTGCACAGTTCTCTCTGCCCT